AAGTTTTCATTCAATTCTTAACGTCAAAACTAAGATGGAGATCAATATCAACAAAATATCAAACTTAATTTAATTATAGTCGTATTAAAATATGTAATTATATCTGTTTATAAAGCCATTATTAATTTTTCGTTTGTTTAACATATCATCCTTACTTATGTGCATAACAAATCAAAACATCCCAATATCCCATAGAAATCCTTAAAGGTTATTTCACTAAAAATGCAACAGATTGTATTAGTGAATAATCCACTTTATAGCAGTTAGAATATAACACACACACACACACCCTTCTGTGTAATATTGTTTGTGAGAAAATCTTATCACATATACAAGCCTTTCTTTGAACGCTTGTATAATCCGAATATCAAGTTACTATATTATATGGGCTAAACGTGGCCGATTAGTTAGTGTTTCTGACAGTTAATCGGAAATTCTATGGTTCGCATCCTGTTGCCGCAAAATCGCACTCCGCGCTTTGGGGCTTTGGTTGCTGTTGAATTGCTTTTTTCCCTCTAGTCTGTCAGTTCAAGTTTCGGCATGGCCAGGTGGTTAGGGCGCTTCACTCGCAATCTGAGGATCGCAAGTTCGAATCCCCGTCCCATCAAACATGCTCGCCTTTTCATCCGTGGGGGCGTTATAATGTAACTGTCAATCCCACTATTCGTTAGTAAAAGAGTAGCCCAAGAGTTTGCGGTGGGTGTTGATGACTAGCTGCCTTCTCTCTAGTCTTTCACTGCTAAATTAGGGACGGCTTGAGCAGATAATCCTCGTGTAGCTTTGCGCGAAATTCAAAACAAACTGTCAGTTCAAAATTAGGGACAACTAGTGCAGATAGCTCTTGTCATTGAGCGATTATCGAAAACAAACAGAGTATCTGTTATTATACAATATGTTTTTTTATTATTATTAAAAACTGATCTTAAATGACAAATAAAATTATACGTATATTGAATTTCCTTTTAATTATCGGTGATTACAAAGCTTTAGGTATTACTTGCATATAACTAAGGCTTTGTAATCACTGATAATTAAAAGCCTTAGGTATTACTTGCATATATCCACTTAAATCACGTACATTATTATGATTTAGATGTGACAGTTAATAAATTCACGTGTAGCTTTTCTGACAGAAGAAGTTTATGGGATAGCATTATTTTGGTGTAAATGTAAATTTTTCCCGATTATTTAACAAAAATAACAAATTTTTGCAATTTGCGGATTAAGGAAATCAATTTACCTTAATGATTTTACACTATGACAACTTTACAGTTTAACAGACTAGCTGTATTTCCAGCATAAGTTTTGATACAAGCAGATGATTCACTCTTAAGTCAGTTGCGTTGGAGTTTTATGCCGAACTAAAGCGTAACTGTAGTACATCATGCCTGCTGCCTAAGTTTGGATAGTGCCACACTTGTCAGTGCTGTCACTGGTAAAGTAATACGTGACAGTCACTTGTTTGTGCACCATTAGTTTAGAATATCTATGCATAACTTTTTTACACTAGATGTGAAATTCCTTCAACTATGTGAGTAATCAGACCTTGTCTTCTTTTTCTCTCACTATTTCTCAGAAACCGTCATTTGTATACAAGATTGCTTGAATTGTGCAACCTCTTTAGATGAATTAACAAAAGTTTTACTGTACCCATTAAATATTATAAGCGTAAATTATGCTTATATACTCGAAGTAAGTTTCTGTATGTAAAGAAAGCAAGAGGCGGGCTATTATTAAAAGTTTACACAAGTTAACATCATTCATATTAAATTGAGTAAATTCGTTATCCAGTAATGATTCTACATGTGTTGTTATCCTCAATATTTCTATTACTTCAGGGTTATTACTTTTGCATTTTTTGTGAGTTCAGTATTTAAAAAAAAACTGATTTGAACACTGCACAGTGTTTTTGGGGGGGTAGATATTACTGCTGCAGTATTTCTAGGGTCAGTATTAAGGAAGAGTTGATTTAAACATCGCATTGTTTGTTTGGGGTGTTTCAGTAAGAATGTATTTTTAAATGATGGATTGTTTCATCCTATTTTTCAGTATACTAACGAGAAAAAACAACATCTCTGATTTGTGAATCACAGGCTTTAAAGTATTGTTACGAGAATGATTTAACTTTCTATTATCTTTACATAACTTTTTAATCTTGAAATTATGATGATAAACATTGAATTACGTTACGATATGTTTTTTTTTTTTTCAAATGAACCTAGATATTAAAAGTTGTCAAAATATTTAGAAGCTGGGGATTAACTTAAAAAAATATATTTTAGAAGCATCAAGTTTCGTGATAAAAATATTCCAGTTGAAATTCAAACCACGAAAGAAAAATTATTTGCCCGGATTATTTTCACCGAATTAAAAAAAATGTAGCCAGCTTTTATAGAAATTATTTCCGCAGTTGTCATAGTGACCATTGTGTGGTGTATGGACCATAAGGGAGAGAACATATAACGTCGTAACGAAGAATAATGAACAGATGTATTTGTCTATCAATTCGATGTTATGTCATTACAACCATTTTGTGTTATTGTAACCACCCAAAGTCATAAGGATTTAACTTAGAATTAGCGTCAGAATTATATAATGAGATTTAGTACGTTATTATTATTATTAGAGTAAACCATTGTGTTTGCGATTTTTAATTTTAACCAATACCAAAAAAAGGGAAAACACGGTTTTGTATCAATAGGGTGACCAGACAGATTTCGGAATATTGTCCCTGTGGCCCTATACATCTTTCAGGACGGCCAAATGCCCCAATTTTCACTTGTGTTAGTGATATCAACTTGTATATATTTGTGTGGAACTATGAGACTCTGACAACCGTGAATCAACAGCTACTATCTGTTACAACTGAATAAGGAAACTACTATACATCTCAGGATGACTCAACGCAGCCTTTGCTGCTGTTTCTGAAGTTGGTTATAAGGCAAGGTTTAGCTGATAACATGTCACGTCACTGTGCACGTGAATTCGCACCCGCCAAGACAGAGAGAGATAGTTGAATACAAATGATAACTGCAGTTTACAGCAAATGTTTGAGTTTATAGTTATTACTCCTGGCGAGTAAGTTGCTCGAAAACATTCACTCGTCAGAGAGGTATATGTAGTAGCAATAATATACTGTTCATTTGATGATACTGATTACTTGTACAATTGTTGTTTATGATTTAAAAAATGATCACACTATGTATCATGAATATTAAACACACGCTATAGATAAATATTTGTACCACAATTATCCACGAATTGTACTAATTTTTAGGTGCTGGACATGCTTTTTGTCGGTGCAAGAGTAATCGTTGGTCACTCTGACAACATTAATTTGGATTAACTTTAGCAACAGAATTTGGCCTAAATTAAAATTACAACGTAGCTTCATACTAGCGTTGCATATTTCCAAAATAAGGGGAAAATTCAAGAGTTTAAGGTAATTTTATATGTGTGAGTAGTGTGGATTCCACACTTAGTTTGTTGTGCAGTCTGAAAGATACCGGATGTCCAGTTACCTCATCAAAGGTGAATGGTTAATAAAGTGAATCCTGATTTATTTTGTTTTTTATGTTCTGACCAGTGTTATAAGTTTGAAAGTGAGACTAGATGACTTTTAAAGGGAAGTGTAATACTTTTGTTGTGTAGCTATATCAGTCTTAACATTGACAGTATCGTGGAACTTATCTGTACATACCTCTGCTGTTGTTTATATTTTGCATCCTGGAATTAGGACTCACATTTCCAAAACCCAAGATAAATAATGTTACTATTATTAGCTACCTTCGGAAAGGGTATTTCTCCATGATATGTGATAGTTATCAAGCATGTTACTTCTGTTGAAGAGGACGTCAGATCTAGCATTCTCTTTCTTTCGGCCCACTTCAGCAAAGGTTAATGAACAACCAGTGGATGTAAGACTTTAATGTTGCTGATTGATCATTCTTCTTAAATTAGCATGGTTCTTCAAGTTCAAGCTATTTTCTCGTCTTACTGATAGAATGCAGGGTATGCCTTGTTCCTTAGATTAAAATTTTAAATGTAAACTATAAAGTTTAGATTCATAATGTGGGACGAGTGATTAAAAAATGTTTTAATTTAATACAATAATGAAATGACGAATTGATTTGTTTGTTTCAATAAGCCACCAGAAATACTGGAATAAAATATATATTAATAAAAAATGTTACATTATCCTAATGTTAAAGAAAAATGATATGCATAAGATAGATGCCAAAAACTCGTTGACAATCAGTATTTTCCACCTCAAGTGAAAATCATGTGATAATCATCTTGCGTTGGAAGAGGGACAGTCAAATCCTACTACTCAATTAAAGCAATAAGATCTAGCGCAGATAGTCCTTATGTAGCTTTGCGTAAATATCCGCAGCAAATAACCAGTAATACTGCTTGAGTGATGTTCCTAATGGCTGGATCACAACATGAGACTCACATTAGTGATTTGTTTACTTTGTTGACAGGTGAGTATTGGCGGAATCATTATTATGAAGGATACGAAACGAGAAGACCCAGAGGACCTGGTAGAACCTGTAGCAAGTGAGTTAACGTACATGTTTGTTTTATCGGTGAATGCGATTCTATATAATCTTGCTATTTTTGTATATACATAAAAACTATCATTGGCTAGAAATTTTTAGCGGAAACTCATGTTGACCAATGGTATTTATTTGATAACAGTTAAACTAAACCAGTTACATAATTTGATGTGTTTTCAAAATGTCATTAAGTATTTTTATAAATTATTATTAATATCTGATTTTTCAGGAACAATGCAGTACTTTCTCCTATCATGTTTGTGTTATTGGTTATAATTATGAAACATTTTGCATATCATTTTATGTACCGAGTTTATGAAAAAAGAATTGCACTCTAGCAAGTTGATCTATTATGACAGTGTGATTTTCATACGTATTGTGAATATCATCTACGTTTCAATTGTTCGTTATTAAATCTGTTTTGACTTAACATACTTTGAATCTAAATATGTTTTAATATACCGAAAATTTAAAATTGTAACGTTTGGTAACGTGAACTTAGTTTGCATATGACAAACAAGGTTTTAATAGTGGTTGATAGAACGTTTATTATTCAGTAGCGATGGGTTGAGGTTAAGGTTGTAGATTTGTGTTAATGATACATTAATGTATTGTATGTTTAATATCTTACAATGAAGTATTTACTGATTGTTCACTTTCGTAAGAAACAAGGTTTAACATGTTTTTGCTTTTATGAATAGCGGGAGGCCCCAAGGTTGAAGATGAGGAAGAACCAGAACCTCCAGAACCGTTTGAATATATAGAAGATTAATATACAACGCCAACAAGAAAATAATTTGTTTGTAGACTAAAACGTTTATTCAAATTTAGCCCTTACTAAAAAGTATCATTGTTTTTGCTCTATTTAATTCCAGCAAATATTTCGAGGGTTGTAGTTCATTAAATCTGACAACTCAATTCAAGGTTTTTACTGTGCAACAAAGATTTGTTTTAATATTTTGAGTTCGTTGTCATGAATGCTGTACTAGTTATGTCGTTATAAAATTGGACTTGTGCACTTGTACGATCGATTTATTCTGTCAAATATTTACCCTGCTGACTCTCAAATCGAACAGACGAAACTTTAGATTACATTTCAGTGTTTGCACCAAGTTTCAGTATGATTTCACTAAGTATTTGGTACTCTTGCAGGAAAAGAAAATTTTTGTACTCGAGGAGGCTTTCGAATACTTCAGAAGAACGTTTTACAATATGGATTTTTTTTTAAAGTTTGTCGATGGTTTACAAGACAATCTGAAGTTAACTTGATGGTGGTAAAAATAAACAACATCGTATTATCATTACAGCAACAGGAAAAACAGAATATTACTGCAAGAACTTATCAATTTGAATCACATTACTGAAGCAAAACCTTTTTATATATTACTTTAATATTAAGTCTATGAGATAATAGTCTTGTATAAAATGATACCATGGTTAAATTTACCCAAAGAATGAAAAATGTTCAAAATAAATGTCTTGTAAATTTTTTACAACACGACTGAAAGGGAGCCTAAATGTGTACGTGTTTGCACTAATGTATTCAGTCCTTTTAACAAAACAAAACACATTATATTTTATGGTTCCTGCACCTATTGCAGAAATTTTCTTCAAGTAGGATTAGTCCAGTGATAACACGCCATTTTAATAACGGTTTTTTGTTCACCAAAAACACCTGATGTGGCAGATGACTAACTTTCATAAATAAATTATTGTGGTAGAGATTTAGTTTTAATAAATAAATTCTATGTAGCAGAGAGTTGTTTTTCACAAAAAAACCTGGTGTAGCAGACGACTAACTTTCATAAATAAATTATTGTAGAAGAGAGTTGATTTTGATAAATAAATTCCTTTCAAACAGATTAATTAATTTCTAAATATATATACTGATCATGGTGTGAGAAATTTGTGTTAACGTATGTACAAGACCAGAATTTATACAAAAAACGATGTCAAATATCTGATATGTTTAAAAACAAAATGTAGTAATTACTTGAAACCGTACATAAAAAATTATTTTCCGATCAAATCATATCATACTTTTTCCAAAGTTAGCTACGATGTTCATGGTCTATGGAAGATTCTTATGATAAGGGAGAAAATTATACTGGAAAATAAACTCTCTGCTACATAGTATTTATTTATTAAAACTAAATCTCTACTACAATAATTTATTTATGAAAGTTAGTCGTCTGTTACACCAAGTTTCTGTGTGTGTGTGTGTGAAAATCAGCTTTCTGCTACATCTTGGTTTATATATATATATATATATAAAGACTCACCTTTCCTTTATAAAGAATGTGAGAAAGTGAGTTTTTATATATAATTAATGTTGATAATTTGAGTTTGTTTTTTTCGGAACTAGAATTGTTTGGCTGTCAGATGCAAACAAATCATTCAAAACGAATTAGCCTCAAGTTTCTAACACAAAGCTTTAGTGATCATATAAATCTTAAAGTGGTGCTGATTTAGCAAGTACGGTCGTAGTTCGAGCACCAAAAAATATTTTGGTTATATAAATATTATGCTTAATTTGTTTGGTGCAGTATATATCTCAATGTGAACTTACGCTTGTTAAGTGCTAGATGAGTTTACACATCGAAAGGAAACATGACGTCATTGAATAGTACCAAAACAGGAATGATTGTTTTCCGCTGTAGCTGTCTTAACCATTATCACGGTTTCTTGTTAGTTCAGATTAATTGAACTAATCGAGTTAAGACGACGTACGTTTTAATGCATTACAATGAAACTGTTTAACGCTTACGATAAATGATAGGATTTGAAGGTTATGAAACTCGGTCCTTCTTTAACGGTTTTATACTAAACCGTTTCTCACGTCATTTCTGCCACCTTGTCCCTAGCGTGTCAGTGGTAAGTTTACGGACTTACACACTAAAACCCTGAGTTCAATTCCCTTTGTGGACAGGGTACAGATAGCCTATTGTCTAGTATACGCCAAAAACAAAATTTCTGCCATATTTTTCGTCACTTTAGGACGTAATGCATTTACAAAGTCGGTCATAACGATTAAAATTCAATTTGTGTGTTAAAACCAAGTTTCTAAATAAAAACCCACAGAGTCAAAAGTTCAAAGTAATAGAAAAATAACATTATATAAACTTGAATACCTGATCATATTTGTTATGTTGGAGAGAAGACAGATTCGTACAATGTTTGATAAACTACTTATTAAATAGGTGAAATGTTATATTGTTTTAGCTGCAGGCAGTTATTAGATTAATTGCGGAAAATAAAAATTCAATCATACACTAATAAACCTACAAAATGAGGGCTAATTGACTCACCGATATAATACAGTTACATCGTGATGATAAGTTAAAGTGGCCAGGAAGCAACTGAAATTTATTTACAATTTTTGTTTTATTAGGCTATACAAATGACCTAGGTTATATCATCGGAGATAATGTTATTGTTCACACTGATTTATGATTCAGTTATCTAGGTTGTATTGTGGAGATGGTATTATTCATTGGATTACCAGGTAATTTAGGGATCAAGATTACATGATGGAGATAATACTGATGATCAGAATACCAGTTTGTCAAGTAGTTAAAGACACTGTATAGATACGACCAGTTATTGGACTACTAGTTTTCAGTAGTCTAGACATGGGATCCAACTTGTATGATGGAGATAGGAATATTGTTGGTATCAATGTATGGTTCAGCTATGTGGATTACTTGTCTATCATAAATGGTGGAGATAGAAATATTGTTGGTATCAATGTATGGTTCAGCTATCTAGACAAGTAATCCAGCCTAAATGATGGAGATAGGAATATTGTTGGTATTAGTTATCAATGGTTCAGTTATTTAAACAAAAAATCCTGGATAGATCGGATCGGTAAAGATAGGACCATGGTCAGACTGTTATGTGGTGCTGTTGTTTAGTCGCATCATCCGTACTACAATGTGGAGATACGGCTGATGATTCGCCTGCTAAATAGTTCAGTGCTTTAGGCAATTAACAGGGGGAAAATTCTAAGTTACCCATTTAGTTATGTACTCTAGGTATTCGATGTAGGTTAAGCCAAAGAAGTAAAAGACAAAAACGTGTTACTGTAAGCTAGTTCAATAAGCTCGACACAAACAAGAAAAAATATTCCTTTAAACTTACTTTATTACACCATACATGGGATCGACTTGCGTTGGTGGAAAAAAATCATCAGTGCTTTTACAACTACAGTTAAATTAATTTAGACAGGGACTCTTGGATAAATCAAGGGAGAAAGGTGTAATGGGCTGTGTTGGAACCTGTTTTATAGAATATTCATGTGACCTCGCGTAGGTCATTGAAGGAATGATATTTCTCATCTAACCTGATTCGGCTGTTTAAGCAGATAATGTGGGTTAGGTTGACGTCAAATAGATCATGTTATCTAACTTAAGTAATCTATAATTCTGCTTATGAAACTGATGATGTAATTCGTGCTTTATCAACAGTCTATTTATGTAATCAAGAATGGATAGACAAAAATATTATTGGCGGTAATTCTATATAATTTTGTTCAAAAGCCTAGAAACGAATTCCAGGTAAAGGCGACAGTGCTTAAATACGGGATCAGGCTGGGTAAACAGAAAAGGACTGGTGGCATACTGGAAACTGGTTCAATAGTTAAGAGTAGAAACTATTGTATCTAGTGAATAATATGTTCTTTATTCGGAATAATGGCTTAAAAGCATTTTATTTTACGTTGAAGAGATATTAACATACAACAATAAGGAGGAAAATGATAGATTTAAGATATAAAAGTATATATTTCCTTTTTTTTTTAATAAATAGGAGATTTATGTTAAGTTGGCGGCATCTAGTACCAAATATATTTATTTCTTGTATTTATCACCTTATTATTTGTTTTAAGTATAATTGAGAGTGCTTTTGTTTTTTATGTGTTCGAGAAGGTGGTATTAACAGGAACCAACAGCAACTTTTATATTTGTGTTTGTAATCATTTCAATAAACGAATTAATCTATAGATTTTGGCATAGCGATTAATTACGTTTGGAAGTGTTTTTTGTGTAGTTGAAATATTCAGTATAAAATGTTTTTTTTCCATAGTATACAATTTAATATGTTTCTTTTTTGCGATGACCCTCCTGGCTCCCGTTGAAATATGTGTTTTGTTGTTGTTTTCGCCAATTAAACGGTAACTTCTAATAATTATGAGTCAGAAACGTTGGAAAATAGACTGGTCAAGCGGAAATAATGTAAAGTACAATGAAAAACCAGATTTTTAAGAGTGTCTCTTTATTTGATTTTTCGTAGTAGGTGTACAAATAATTATGAATGTTCACTAGAATATGTAGCTTGACATGAAGTCGCTTGAGGGTCGCTCTTGATAGACTTCGAACTCCCGTTTATGTCTCTCACTGACACCTAATGGTAGATTAACTTAGACCATTATATTGTGTTTAATACGTCAACTCCACTACTGAACTTGCTTTAGTACTAATTATAACTATAAATTAGAACCCGCAAACTGGGTGTAAATAAAGTTAATTTATTTTAATGGCTTGTTTTATTTATTTGTAATTAAGCACAAAGCTACACAATAGGCTATCTGTGCTCTGCCCACCACGAGTATCGAAACCCGGTTTTCAGCGTTCTAAGTCTGCGGACATGCCGCTGTGCCACAGGAGGCGTCTTTTAAGAGATACATGCCATTAGAGACAATTTGTCTCAGTAAAATAAGATTCAAGGCTACAGAACTGATTGGAAGACAGACTGAAAAAAAAACCTAATTAGTGAACAACTGAAAACAGACTGCAAAACTGAAATGAAACTTACTGAATTTTTAAAGTCAAAAACTGCTTTAATTTTGTAATCGGGATTTAGCAGATGAAAGAAAAAGTCATGGTGACTATACACAATGGTTTAATTATCCAATTAGTAATCAATCGCTATATCACAAATTAACTGGACTTACAAAAAAGGACTTTTCAGAATTAATTATTTATGCGCCTGTCATATAATGTGTTTCCTTCAAAGTAAAACATCTGA